TTTGTCATTTCTTATATCTCATTTCTCATCCCTTTTATAGATATCTACAGCCCATATTGTCTTTGCAGGGTAGCTGAATGTCCTGAATGCAAAATGCCAGCCAGCAACCTCGCTAAGGTATTTGGGCCAACACTTGTAGGATACTCTGTGCCAGAACCTGATCCAGCCACTATGCTGACTGAAACTCGCCAGCAACAACTGGTAGGTTGTTGTCCAATAGTCAGCTTTTTAAAAGCAATTCAAGAGTATATTTTTCATGCTAGTATAGAGCCGTCTTTTCCGCTAGTTACGGCCTTGGGCTACACCTCTCACGCAACAGGAATTGAGTTGCCAGATGCATTCTCCCTACTGCAGTTATCCTCATGCATATTGTTACTTAAATTGGGTATCTATAAGACAGCTCAACCCATCATAAGATAGTAAAATCGATCTAGGATATATTCCAAAATCCTATATACCAATTGAAACAACCAATACATTAAAACTGCAAGCTGAAAACTGCTGTCACAAGATTGGGTGAACAAATATTGGGTTTCGGGAGATATCATGTGAGACCTTAATTGTCATAAAAAAATTTGGCATAGGTATTACTCAAAATCTTGATCAAATTGCCAAGAGAGAGAGGAGTAGCACTATTGTAGAAAAGGGGGAAATATACCCTGAAATATTTTTAAAATGTCATACTCTAGAATGATAATATTGGTCTTTCAAAAGCCCAGAATAACGTATATTTTTCTGGTCTTGATATAACTGCTTGAAGTCTTATTAAACCCAAACCAACTTGTATATTTTTCAGGTGATGGAAAAGTTGCTTGAAATCTCCACAGACTACTGGAACACTTTCATTAATGTTACTGATGAAAATGTGTACCAGGGAGTTCAGCAGCTTCCTACACCAGAAGGTGGCACTCTCCTTGGAGGATTCCCATCCTCCAACACGCGTCGACGCTCTATACTTGCTCGTACTCCACTGACTGCCAGGTAAGTGAGGCTTTTGTTAATGCTAACATATACTTCCGTCAAAAAGTGACAGATTTTTTACTTAAAAAAAAAGTAATAGAATTTATTTGAAATTGTTCCTTTTCCAATTCTAGGGACACTCCAAAGAACCGCTATGTCTTCCGGAAGTGAGGTTGCTGAAATAGGAATATCTGGTTTGTTTGATACAAATCAAGATGGACATAATATTATTTTGTAAAATTGTATTACTAGGGCAATATGTGCCAAAAGAAATTGTATACTTTAACCATGCTTCTAGTTTAGTTTGTCTTTTGTGTATATGTTTCATTTACTTCATATTTGTACACGTGTAATTGTGTGTGTGTGTGTGTGCGCGCGTATGAGTCTGTGTGTGTATGTTCAAGTTTACATTGTTTTGTCTGAGCATGCACTTTTGTAATTGTACAAAATGAATGATGATTAGATGCTGATATTGTCGTGTGAAGTGGAGAAATTGAAACTGTGGTATTAGGACTTGAGCCATTCCTTTGAATCAGAATTGAGCCTATTATGATGTCATACAAGTTTATACCAACCACTAAGAGAAATTTATCTACTGATATTCTAATTTTAAGATTCTTCCAATTAAGTATTTTCATAATAACTTTTACTTTTTGATGTATCACTTGTCACAGTTGTACAGACTTTGTTAATAACCTGTCTTTTTAACCTTATTACATCTGGTATGAACGCAATATATAGTTTTCAATTATTGCTATTAGTCATAAGACTAAAAACATTGAATATATACTACATTTATTCATGTAAATAATGGACCAGGTCATAGCCAGACAAATTCTCTTCAACAGAAATGCTTTATTGTGAAGTTGATTAGAGTCATTAGTGTTATTTTTTGTTTGTTTACTATTTTTCATCTATCTACACCAAAGGAGCATTGTGTGATATTCATGTTTCTTTTATCTTATAAATGTGCATTGGTGATACATTTCACATTATGCACAAGTTCCCAGATAATCTATTCACATTTTTTGTATTTTTAGGAAACTTCTCTTCTGAAGAATATTATATATATTGTTGGAAATGCATGTTTTCTTATTCCATATTTTGAAAAAATACAAAAGAATGAAAAGGGATTGCATAATTTTACTATTAAGTGAATTTCTTGAAATGAAAAAATGTCAAAATATCAATCTCTCTGATCAACATAATCATTTACAGGACTGTAGGATACTTCTCAAAAACTTTTCCATTTCTTAATTTTTCTTATAAAATGGGTTCTGCATATAAATTTATTTGATTTTTATCTCTTAAATGGGGTTAAATGTGCCCCTATCAGGTTTCATATGGGTCCTGAAGAACCATGAAAAGTGAAATTGAAATTTCCAGAACTGGAATATCATGGAATTTTGTTTTGAAGTCTGGAAAATCATATTTAGTTTTTGTCCTTTAAACATTTAAAAATCTTAGATTTTATTATTATTTTTACAATATATAAATATATATATTTTATTTATTTATTTATTTTTTTAATTGACCAATTATAAGCAATGAGTCACTGGTGTCAATACAGCACACTCACTAGTCATTACTTAAATCTTTTGTATTTGACATCATAAATTTTGTATTACAGTCATTGTACATGTTTAATTTGATAAATGTAACATGAATAAACATCAGATGTTCAAGGTAAACTGAAAAGAGTTGGAAAAAGGCCGAACCCTTTCTGGAAAGTCAAGGGATTTTAATACCAAATAATGTATGAACCCTGTCATCAACTCTACCCCTGCAACCTTCATCATCAAACAGCCCAACCTCCCTTATTACTACCTTACAGCCTTATTCTCCATCTCTCCGTAATACTAACCCCCTCAACAACACACTTGCTTCCACACGCCCCCGTCCTTCTACCACCACCAACCCTACAAATATCTTAACTACTCTATTTAGCCCAGCTAAATGGGACCGATTTTTTGTGATCCCACCTTACAGCTCCTTACTCCTTACTCTTATCTTCCAACAATGTTTCCAAAAACATAGGCAGAGTCCCTTTCCGTACCCAACGTGATCACTCCCATCTCATAACAGTTAGATCTGAAGCTGAAGCTATAGCATTATCAAAACTAATTGATCTCTCTGGCAACCCCATCCCTGGAGAACCTCATCCAACTCTTAATACTTGTACCGGAACTGTCTCCTCAGCAAACTGCCCAGTCGATACCAAAGATTGGTCAGATTGTGGAGAAGATTTACTCGGCTGCCTCAAGGACCAGGATGCGATATTAGTACATTGCTACTTTCAGTACATTCGATCTTCCCATTGGTGGACAATCCCTACCTGTCCAACCTCCTCCCTGTCAATGTCAAAATTGTTGGCGATTTGTACATCCTGCCAAACACTGCCACTCCACAAACCGATGCCCCTTCTGTGCCCAACCCAGTCATTACAGGTCAACCTGCCCTGCATAAACACGTACTTGTGCTATCTGCGGCGGCCTCCATAATGGATTTTATAGAGGCTGTCCCATTTACAAGTTCGAGACTGAGGTAGCAGCTCTCAGATACAAAAATGGTCTCACTCTACGTGAAGCCAGACAGGAAGCACGCCGACAAGGTTTCTCTTATACTCCCTACTCTAGTAATGTCGCTCGCTCTGCCCCTCCCTCTCCACCTCAAGATGTTCCTACACCCTCCCCTATACCTACTTACTTCCCCACTTCCACTTCTACATTCAACCTCCCCCAGTCAAATTCTTTTGCCACTCTAGATCCAGACACCCCAATCTCAACCACAGCTCAAATCTCAATTACAGGCCCCAACATTCAGAGCTATATGCCTGAGACACAAAATTCCATAACTCATGCTCCCTCCACACTTGAAGTGATTGCCGATATCCATAGCTCTCATATTCCCCCTACACGCCTTCTTCCTACTCCCTCTCAACACAACCAAAACCACTCAATTCCGTCCACCACCGATATCCATCCTCCTGAAATCCATCCCCCTCTTACTCATAGCACCCCTACACCCCTTACTCCTAATCCCTCACAAGACAACACATCCCCTTCAACTCCAACCATCCATCCTTCCGATATCCATCCTCCTACCACTAATATTCTCTCCACACCACTTCCTCCTACTCCCTCCCAACACAACCCACCCCGTTCAACTCCAACTATACGCACATTCTCCCTCCCTCCATCCTCTCTATCCTTTCCACTCCCTCACGGATACACACGGGAATCACTCATGTCACAACACCCCCTTACCCATCTTCAACTTTCCAACATTATTCTAGATAGTTGACGCATAGCAACTATCACCTGACACCTTCCTATAGTGCTATAAGACCTTAGATGTCTAGCACATTTATTTCGCTTTTAATGATTAACCATTATCCATTCCCCTACCGCACACTCAACTCCACCTACCTTTACCTTTATTCCTCAGACACCAGTCTCCTCTTCCCCCCCTCATAAGAAAACCTTTGTCTCACAAAACTCTCCAACCAACTCCACTACAGAAACTATGGAAGATATTCAAAGCCATATGCTTGAGATTCCATAACCCATGCTCCCTACACACTTGAAGTAATTGACGATATCCATAACCCTCCTACTCATATTCCTCCTACACCCTTTTCCTTGCTACTCCCTCTCAATACAACCTAACCCCCTCAAATCTGTCCGATATCCATCCTCTTGATATCCATCCCCCTCTTACTCATAGCCCCCTTACACCCCTTCCTCCTAATCCCTCCCAAGACAACCCCCTCCCAATCTCTTGCCCGTTGTTGCCGTGGGGGTGGGCGGTGGGGGGCTTGGGAGACGGAGACTGAGACCTAATGCAGGGATCTCCCCTGCCTAGGACTTCAGCCCTCGACTCAATTAATTTTGCATGGTCTTTTCTCCCTCCAGCTTAATGTTACCGTCCCTTCTTTAATCCCTTCTACTATCTACTTCCTAAGGTGTAAGAGCCGTGCTGAAAGGATGGTAGGCTGACCTTGTGCCAGACCTGAACGGCCTGCAGGAACCATGGGCACGGTATTCCCCTGATTTCTAGCCCTTACCCCCTTAAGGGGCACTGGGAATGTTTATTTCCCCTACATAATCAAGGCTTCCTATGGCCAGTAATGAAGAAGTAATACCCCTATTAGGGGCAATGAGGCTTGCCCCTTCATCAAATAGCCACATCAATTCAGACTCTACCGGCTCCCGACCCCAGGCTCTCCTTTGACCACGACTCTGAACACTGAACTACTACCCACTCCTCAATGCCTATTAGTGCATTACCCAACCAAGCAGAAACTCAATCTCCAGAAGACATTGCTATCCTCCCAACTTCCTCAAATTCATCAACTCTACCCCCACAACCTTCTTCATCAAGCACCGCCCCCTCCCTTATTACTACCTTACAGGCTTATTCTCCGTCTCTCCTTAATACTGCCCCCCTCAACAATACTCCCTCTTCCACATATACATCCTCCTGATAATCATCCCCCTCTTACTCATAGCCCCCCCACACTACTTCCTCCTACTCCCTCCCAAAACAACCTACCCCCCTCAACTCTAACTATACGCACATTCTCCCTCCCTCAATCCCCTCTATCCTTTCCACTCCCTCCTGGATACACACGTGAATCACTCCTGTCACAACAATGCCTTTCCCCAGATCCCCCACCTTCTGATACCACTCTTTCACAACCCCTAGCTCCTCCCCCTCCCCCAGATTCCCCAACACGTGCTGGCGCTATCACTCACAAAATAACTAAGATATGGCGCTCCTACATTGGAATATTCGCGGTTTCCGTTCTCACAGACCAGACCTTCGTCATATCCTTGCTTCTTATAATCCATCCATTATCTGCCTCCAAGAGACTTTCCTTACACATCCTCCTATTCCAGTTCCCAATTACCATTTTATCTCTTCCTCACGCTCTCTTTGTCTCGTCTACACTTATCCATCATAAAATACCTTATGTCATACCTCCCTTACAAACCACTGTCCCGTGCACAGTTATTCGCATCTTTTTTCGCCGCTGGATAACGGTGATTTCAGTCTACTTCTCCCCTTCCCACCCCATTGACTCTGTTGCCTTTGAAACTAATTTCCCAACGCCAACCACCTTTCCTCGTAGTTGGTGATTTCAACTGCCGCCACACTCTGTGGGGTGACTATCACCACCTCCCGAGGCCAATTTCTCCACAAATAACCTAATTATTCTTAATACAGATCGCCCCACACACTTTAACATGTGCACACAATCCTTTTCATGCCTTGACCTCTCTCTATGCTCCCCTTCTCTTCATTTAGATTTCCATTGGTCAGTTCTAGACCACTTCCCCTATAGTGACCACTTCCCAGTACTCCTTTCTCCTACTTCGTATGTACCACTTCCTAATCTCTCACGCTGGTGCTTTGATAAAGCTAACTGGCGTACTTTCACTTCACTCACTACTACCCCCCCCCAATCCCTTGCCCGTTGTTGTCGTGTGTGTGTGTGTGGGGGAGGGCTTAGGAGACAGAGACTGAGACCCAATGCGGAAGATCTCCCCCGCCTTGGATCTCAGCCCTTGCCTCAACCAATTTTGCACGGTCTTTTCTCCTTGGTTCCAAATCCATCTCAGGAGCTGGATTCGCAGTAACATTCCCAAATTGCTCTTTCAAATACACCCTCCCTCCTGAATCTAGTGTCCTTACTACAGAACTATATGCACTCCTTTTTGCCTTAAGACGCATATACTCATCCACCTCTTCCTCTTTTACTATTTTTACTGACTCCTGTAACTCTTTAACCCTCATAAAGTCAATGCACTCGACCAATCCCCTTGTCTGTTAGATCCAGAACTGGTTTTTCTATCTATCCACACGTCACAAATCTGTCAGATTTTGCTGGGTACCCAGCCATGTTGGAATCCCTGGCAATGAATAGGCAGATACTCTTGCACGATATGCCGCAATGTCCACATCACCTCAACAACGCTTCTCACATATTCCAGCTACAGATTACTACCCCACTTTAAGACCTTCTTGTATACCCGATGGCAGTCTTTTTGGTCAAGACTCCACAACAATAAATTACAT